TGCGTGAAGGGTTCCTGAGTCTCTCATTGAGCCAGCATGGTAATCCACTGTAGTCCAAGGTTTTAGGAGAAAGGGTCAGAGCCTAAGGTCAACTGTAATACTAAGTCCAGGAGGTTGGGGAGTTTCCAACTCGGTGGGCCTGAGTGGAAGTCCATTGTGTCCTTGGTTGCAAGGTTGTGGGGCAGACACATGGTGGCAGTCCAGGAGTCTCAGGTGAACATCCATTTATTGTAAGGCCTCTTGTTCTTCTCTCTGTTGGTCAGAGATATAAATGCCATATTCTACATGAAAGACAGTGCAAGTACCTTGTTGGGCTGTGGTTCCCAAATCAAGGCTCATGTGGTTTTGCAAAACCACCTTTCACATTTGAGAAGTTTCGTCCATAAGCAACACCAGGACTAGCAAGTAAAGTTAATGGCGTGGGCCCTGCATTAACAAGGGTTTAGGTCCATGATTTTTGTCCTTGGTAGCAGCACAGCCACCAGAGAAAACCACTAGGCCATATGTACAATATAGTGGCACCTATATAACAGTTGTGCAATATTGCAGTGTGTCCATAATAATGGGTTTGATGGTGTCATGGATATATGGGAACACCCAGGTGGTGTCCTGGTCAGTGTATGGATAGTTATTGTCAGCCCTAGCTGACACAGACTTAAGAGGCTTCCACAGTAAGCCAGTCAGTGGGCACCACCCTGATGAGCTTGTTGCCACTCCAAATGTCTGTATCATTTTTCAGTGATACATAGTTACACAGGTGAAGACATATCCACACCACAATGGGGTGCCCCAATGCTGCCATTACCTATTGAATAAAAGTGGAGCTGCATTCAGTTATGCTCTTTAGTTCCCTGTTATCCATCCCCAGACACTGTACATAACAGACCCCAGGCCCTGTGGTGTGGTCATGCTCTCCATATCAGCACCTTGCTGGTCTGGCATCTATGATCCCAGGCTGCTGCTATCAACAAGTTTATCAAAGTCTACTTATCTGCTCACAGGTTGTCCTTTTCACATTCCATAGGACTTGTCACATAGAGGCAGTGCTGGCTGGAATAAATTTGGCACAGCTGTGGGCTCAACTTTGTGTTATCAGCCCCATTTTCCTATAGCTATAACACCCATGTTGGGACAGTTTCACTCACATTTTAATTCAAGTGTTTCACCAGCTGCCATATTCCAGGGCTATACCAATTGTATAGGTATATCATGGGTAGAGAGTAGTCCCTCAAGTCCCCCTCCTTGGGCTAGGGGCTCCTCCACATCCACCTTCTGTCAAGTAGCAGGTGTGAGGGAACTCACAGAGACTTAACCTCAGAAGGAGGCGGAGCTCCCTGGTTCATGCAGTGTGATTTCAGCAGGAGCCTGCAGTGAGTCGAGGGCTTCTGTGGGATCCACATGTCTATCACTTCTGAAGGCCTTCAACATGCTCTTGGGAGTCATATGGACCCTTCCTAGTCTGTACATGTCTCTTAACATTATCAGTAATCAGGTAAGTGAATATTCATCTCACAAGGAAAAACCCTGCTCATGTATTGAAGAGCACTAAGAGCTGACTTTGTTTTTTAGGTCAAAGTATACTGGTACTGGTGAGGAAGGAGACTCCTTTTGCATTGTTAGTGGTATATTCACATCAGAAATCATTTTGGTAGTTAATTTAACAGTAGCACATCTGACTACCTTAACATTCTGTGCATCCATTCCTATGTCATGAAGAGAATTTCACAAGATAGTCACATCAGCTTTGTTTTTATAACTGAAAACTACAATGTGAATATCCAATAACATCTAAATGAATAAAGAAACTACAGCAAGCTATGAATTGAAATTCTAATAAAAAATATAAAAACACTGTACAGTAACCTCAGAATGATTGATTGGTGAAAGAAGGCAGAGGGGACAAATTTTATCCAGGCATTACATACATTTGCAAAATATTAACAGATACAAGGCAGGTCAGTCTGTGCCTATCTGATACATGAGATAATACTCTGTTCTAATAAGAGTTGCTGTGGATCAGGAATCGAGGAGGCTTTTCTGAGGCTGCTACCATAGTAATTTGGTACATAGAGCTACATACTCAGTGAACATGCCACTCGGGCAGAAATTGCTCTCAGGCTTTATCCTTTGTCTACAAGAAGGACTCAGGACAAAAGCCTAATGTCTCCTCTGTCTGGTTTCCATTTTCTCACTCAAGGTTCATCAACTTCTCCTCAGGGAAGCTGCAGAGATAGCAGTGACTTCTTTGGAGCCAGAGATCCAGAGAGGGACCAAAAAAAAAAAAAAAAAAAAAAAAAAAAAAAAAAAAAAGAAAAGAAAAGAAAAAAAGAAAAAGAAAGAAAGAAAAAGAAAAACCCACCATACTGAGGAGAACAAAGGAAAAGATCAGGAGATTGGTCACAGTTATTTTGTGTGAACCTTAGTAGTGCCATCACATAATCTCTGCCATATTCAGTTATTTAAGAGTGAGTCAGGAACTGGGGAGAGAGCTCATGATACAATTCTTGCTCACCATGCATGAGGCCCTGGGCTCAATTTCAGCACTGCTAATGCAAAATTAAAATAATAATAATAATAATAATAACAATAAGTCACAAAGTTAGGACCATAGGGCTGGGGATTTAGCTCAGTGGCATAAGCACCTGCCTTGCAAGCAGGCAGTTTTGAGTTTGATCCCCAGTATCGATATAAAGGAAAAAGACAAAAAAAAAGTTAGGACCATAATATAGGGAACAGACTACTCAGGATATCACAAGATGAACTTTCAGCTACTGAGTAGGAGCACAGGCCATAGGCCTTGTGGCTCACACAGGTGTGAATATAGGAGCTATGGACTTAGATATGGGGATGTAGCTCCATCCATAGTGCTTGATCAGCCTGTGTGAGGTCCTGATTTGAGTCCACAGCACCAATACATAGAAGAAATTGAGATGCTTATGAAAAATATGGATGGCCCACATGGTCCACAAAGAAATCATGCAGGAAAATAGGGAAATAATGAATCAATGCATTTTCACACCCTCATGAAGCCACGAGGGAAACGTCCAGGAGACGAGTCTCATTTCTATGACCACACAGCAAGAGCCAGCATTGTGTGCACTGTGTTACTGGATTTCACTTCTAATTCTGTGCTCTATGTATATGTGACACCAGCCCACAGATTTTACAAATGTTATCTCACATCACTGATCATGTTCCCAGGTGACAGATGCCAGAATGACTTCCATAGAGAACACTAACACATTGGGATGCTCCTGAGAGGCATGGTGTCTTGTCTAGGTTGACATAAGAAACCAGAGAAACAAGTTTTATCCAAACCTCTGACTTTTGCATCAGAGCTGAGACCCTGCCTGCACTGCTGTTTTTATTAAGCCATGGGAAATATTTGCATCCTGCCAAGGATCCATCACTTGGGTGAAGAAGCTGTTGATTTTTGTGAAGGAAAATGGAGAGTCATTCTGTGGGATTCCTTATTATCCAGAGCAGGAATTTCTGTGAGAGATATCATGGTCCACACAGAAATCATGCAGGAAGCTGCTGGATGCATTTAATTATCAATTTCCTAGGCTCTGATAGATATAATGACCAGATTAAACATAAACACTGTTGTCTTGTGCTTTAATGTTGTACAGGCCACACAGTCACCCTGGAGAGAACACCATGTAATACCCACATTAATGTAAATGTGCCTAACTTCCTGGCCTCTGTACATGTGAACACATAATAGGGTAAAGGGAGTTCCTCTAAGGCACCCAAAATGCGGTGATGCATCATTATATAAAGTGAAGATGGAGGAAAGGCAGGCAGAACCCACACTCTCTGTCCACTCACTTTGAAGATGTTTATAGTACAGCACCCCTGTAGAGTGACCATGAGTTACACTGCAGACACCACTTTTGCTCAGAGACAACATGCCACAAGGGTTGGAAAGGGAGGTGTATGCCAGGCTTCCCTGAAGAAGGGAGAACAGGTGGTCACAGCACTATTAGGGACTTCTGTCAGCACGTGAGGACCACCTGGGCCAGCACTACCCCATTCAAGGCAAAGAAAAGGCTGGGTCAGGGCTCTGCAACTGCAGCAGGAGGTTGATGTCCAAATCTATAAGATGCCCAGTTGAGTTGGACCAACCTGAGCTCACAGAAGTCAGAAGGGTTTGGCCTGTGTCTGTGGGCCTCTGGGGAGTGCATGGGACACTTTACACAGACAAAGACTCCAAGATTTGGGGCCTTCTGCAACACTGAGGCATGCAGAAGTGAGTGGGTCAAAGAGGAATGGGAAGCTTTCCTGGGGGTGGATTAGTGCACAGAACTGTCTGTGACAGGCACTGGGAAGTTCTAGGGCCTGCAAGGAACAAGGATAGTTGGTGATTTTTCTCCTTCTGCTGACACAGGGTAGTACCTAACTGAGCTCAAGTCCCACATGCAGAGTTTATGCTAGATCCATCTCCAGTGACCTCACCAGCTTTGGGATCAAAGTGAAAACTATGGCCAGGCAGCCTGTGTTGAGAAATTCTAGAGCTGAGGCTTTTACTGGCTCCACAGCAAGCATCCTGAACTCCACTTAGGGCCACTCCTGCAAAGCACCTGCATTTCCTTTCCCCTCTCCTTGTACACCTTGTATTATTTTAAGTTTACATTTCTACAACTAAGTCTGTAATAATTCTGCATATTAAATTCTAGTACCTTTAAAGATAAGATACTATTTGTTTCATCATGTTCAATTCAGTAGCATATAAGTACATCATCTATTTGTACAATTGCCACATCTGTTGATTTCTAGCTCTCTACTCAGTTTTGGACCCACCCATACCCCTGTCCTCTCCTGCCATACCCCACCCACATCTGACCTTTTTCTCACTGCAATTTAGTACTCTGGGTCTTTAATAATCATTTATCAGATTCTGTTCAGTCAAATTTTACTGGAAGACACTGGCTGCTGTTGCCCTTTGATAGAAGAGAAAACCCCAGGTAGACAATTCTATCAGGAAAATGTAGAGACCATTGTGTATCTACTCATCTTTTTATTTTGGAAAATGTTCCCTTGACTTCAGTGATAGAAGGGAGCTAGAAAGGTCTGATTCATTGCATTTGAAAAACAGAAACAAGTATAATGTACAAACTACAGCAAGAAACCTTTCCTTACAAGACATAGTCAGACAGATAGTTTGTGATACAGGTGGAAAAGTGGTGTCATGAGTTCATTCTGTGAGAGATGAAAAATTCTTATAAATCAAAAGAGAATCACCACAGGTGACCAACAAGGGCAGAAAACGCTGAGCCTCCAAAGCTGATTCATGCAGGCACACATCCCTGAGATGTGCTGTGTCTCCATCTGATGGCAGGGTTTAAGGCAGGTGCTGAACAGCACTGGGGAGAACATGGGGAGCAGAGCAGAGCCCCATCTTGCAGCTCCATCAGAGTGCTATGACTTACAAAGGTTTATGACTTATGGAGAGCTGCACAACTTTGCAAGATTTCTTTTCAGGAGTTTGATTCACAGCTGTTTGAAGCACAAAGGAACTGGGACCATCCTTATCTTCCATGTAAAGGATGTGGGGCATCAGTGTGGGCCACAGGATGCAGGGAAAGCTGGGGGGATGCTGAGATTGGTCTCCCTGGGTCCACAGGAAAGGAAGCCATGGAATCTGATCATGAAATAATACATGGGTGTGAGAATAAGGATCTCGGTTTTCAAAGTGAAATGTCTCTGACATTATGGGGTTCTGCCCTAGATCCCGGATCTCCCAAACTATTTTATGGTGGAGGTTAAAAAAAAAGTGAGAAATTATATGATTTGTAGGGCTCCACTGTGAAGGTAAAGACAAAGGATTCTCTGTGTCAGTCCACTTATTTTAGGACCAAGTACAAAGGGCAGAGAAACTGAGGAAAGTACAACCAATGAGCAAGACCTTGGGAGTCACTTCAAGGATGTCTCCAAGTAATGAATCAAGTCAATTCAGTAGCACTGTCTTATCATGGAGACATGGTAGAAGTGAGACTGTAGGAGTAATCTTTGCATCTGCAGTCTCTACCTAATTAATTGGTGTTGGAGCCAGACTGTCCACAGCTGTAGCCTTATCTTGCCTTTTAAGGTATCTCTGGCCTCACAAGCCACTACAGGCCTCAGCCAGGACCTGTGATTCATAGAGGTTCACTTACTATGAATCAGCTCCTGTCTCCAGGCAAGGGGCTTCGGCCTAGGACAGATTCACAGCTAAACATAGAAAGCCAATTAGTAAAATTTAAATCCTGCTCAGAGCCGCTTCACCTCCTAGTGGTTTCCAACATGAAATCAAGGTACATCCACACATAGACATGTAAGAATCTATGTCCAAGAATGGTGTCTCAGCACTGTAGTGCCTTGTGGTTACCCTGGCTCAAAATAAAAAAGAATTTTAAAACAGAAGTTAGTCTAGTTCATTGCGAGGCCCTTGTCATAGTTTATGTCTATGGCCCCCAGGCCTCATGAGTTTATATTATGCATTTTTGACTGGTTCATTGTTTATCCCTTGGACTGGGGGTGTGAGTGCTACACTGACCTAGGGGTAGAGCCAGGATGTGATGTAATGGCAGAAAGAAGGCCTGTCTTGCTCTTTTGCCTGTTTCCTCCTTGCTGTTTGTAGCAGCCATGAACCTTGGCCCTGCCATGCCAGCCTGCCGTAAAGCAAACTGAGTATGGACTGAAACTTCCAAAAATTGTAAGAAATAAACCTTTCCTTTCCCAACTTTTGGCATCAGATATTTTGTCTCAGCAACAAGTATAAAGTAACTAAGACAGCCCTGCATTGAATTCCTAGAATTCAGTTAAGGAAAAAACAAACAAAAAAACAATAAAACCTGGGAGCCTGCAGAGTACCACTACTTGGGCTTTCTGAATAGCAATGTGCCCCAAGTTCCTTGAGCCTTCACACCTTTCTTTGGCAGTCTGATTTTTAAAAAAATGATCAGTTCCACGAGAACTGGTGAAAGGAGAATGTTCACCCAAGAATACAAAATCTCAGTCACGGTGGAGAAGAAATTTTGAATTGTCCACTAAACATTATGGTAACCAGAGTTAATAAGAAGAATAGCTTTCAAAACTGCTAAACAATGGGATTTGCAGTCCTAGTCACTGTGAAAGAATTTGTAGATTAGTAAGGCAGGAGGTACATTAACTAGATTGATTCTTTCTACAAAGGAGCCATAGATTAAAGGCACATTTTTATCCCATAAACATACATAATTATTGTGAATTTCTAAGTAAGGATAGCGTGAACCTGTACTCCCAGCACTCTGGGAGGACCACAAGTTTAAACTCAACCTGTGAAATTGAGTGAATTATTTAGACCCTGTCTCAAAAAAAAATTTTTTTTTAAGTGCAGGGGCATATAGCTCATGCAGAAATCCCCAGGATCACTAAACATAGAATATAAACTGCATAATATGAAACTGCATACCTCATACTAGTTTCATACTATGCAGTTTTAGAGTAGTTATATAAATTATACTATAGTATATAAATATACTATAGTTTCATAGTATATAAACTGCATAATATGAAATCTTTAATCTATTTATAAGGGGTTTCATATTTTTATTAGTGTCTATTTGTGCTACATTAAAATAAGATAAGAGGAAAAAGGGTTTGTTCATTTTGTTCAGAGATAAGGTCTTGCTATGTACTGCAGCATGACCTTGAACTCACCAAGTATTTCAGGCTAGGTTGGCATTCCCTGGAGGGTTAGGCACCTGTGTAACCCTCCAGAGTGCTGGGATTACAGGCATGAACCACCATGCTCAGCAAGAAAATGTTTTTTAATTTTATTTTAAAGAGAATGAAGCCAAATGAAACAAAACAGAATAGAGTCAATCAGAATAAAAAGATGAACATGGTACATGACTTAAAAGCAAAATCCAACAACAGGTTGTGTGGCTTGTCTCTCAGTCTGCACAGAAAATGAATCAACATCTTGCTGAACTCCAAATTTTCCAAGATAATTGGACAAATACCTAGATTTTGAAAGATGTAAACATGGCTTCGTTAGGCACCAGTTCGTGTCAAGTGGCAGGGAAAGAACAGAGAACTCTGAATTAGTATTTCCAAATTCTGGAATTTATCCCATGAAAAAATGATATATGCTCAATGCAACTTTTCTAAGAGGAACTAGACTTTTGTACATGGTCAGTAACAGGATAACTAAGTAAACCTCTACCTATGCATATAATATAAATATTCAACACTATGCAAATATATAAACAATATGAGCAGAACTGGGTAGTAATGGTTAGAGACAGCCGAATACGGGCAAGATGCATATTCTGTAGCAAGGTTCAATTATGTGGGTGAATTATTTTTATTTGTGGATTTAAATTTTTAAACCCTAGTGATCACACTTTGCCTTGTTGTCAAAGCCCCATGCTGCATTCAGTCTCCCCACAAACCTAAACACCCAAGTGACACCAATATTAAAAGAAGCAGAAACCCCTTATCAATGGAAGGGAATTGAGCCAAAGCATGTGCAGGTAGAATAATAACTGCTATTTACTGTAATATCTTGGTCCTCTTTCAGTCTCTGCAGGGAGGAGCTCGGAGTGGAATGAAATCATCCTTTTGGGGGTAAATGTCCCCGGCTCAGCACAGCCAGGCTCAGTGACAGCAGAGGCCATGTGAGACCTGAGCGACCTCCCACAGGTCCCACATCAGAGCGGGGTTCCCAGCAGCGCCTGGCTGGGGCCAACGACTCCAGGCCGCGCGCCAGGCCTGGCTGTGTGGACTCCTGAAGTAGAGAAGGGAGGAAGGGAGAGAGGGGCCTTGCGGGCTGAGGCCGGGTCGCCCCCAGAGCCATGCCCGCTGCCCTGGGCCCGTGAAACCGCAGGCAGGACTCCCCGCCGAGGCACCTGCGCCCGCTAACCTCGGGGCCACCGGGCCGCGCCGCCGCTCACAGCCGGCTCCCGCCCGCCTACCTGGCCCAGACCCCAGCCCCAGGGCCGCCGCAGGCTAGGCCACTGAAAAAAGAGCGTTCAGGTCTCCAGAGGGCTTCTCTAGCGGCAAAATGGCGACTCCGTGCACAAGACAGGCATCCACTGCGAGGGCGAGGCCAGGGGCAGCGCGGGACTGAGTGGGATGTGCAGGCGCAAGGCGAGGGACAGTCCGTGGGCGCGGCCCGCGCAGGTTGGGCCAGGTGGAATGTAATCTTCGCTTGAGGCCAGTGGTGGGGCTCAGCGGCTTGGGAGGCGGGGCAAGGGGCGTGGCCAGAAAGTTGGAACCCAATAGGTATGTAGTCCTCCTGTGGTGGGCAGGGGGGGGTCAAGAAGGGGGCGTGGCTTTGGGGCTTGGGTCAGGCTGAAGCAAGGTGTGGTTGCAGGTCTCTGGTGAGGCTTTTGGGAGACTCTGAGCCCCAGGCCTTCTATGACAGGAAGCAGAGGAGTGGACTGAGTGTGAGGCTTGGAATTTATGGATGTCTGGACTCAGACATCTTCCCTGGCCTGACCTTAGGCACACTGCTTCTGTTCTGGGAGCCTCAATTTTCACTATTGTTATTCTCCTATTATTTCGCTTTGAAATATTGAGAGTTTATTTCCATTAAAAAAAAAAAAACCGTTATGAATGGCAATACTCATCTCTTGGCACTGCTATGAAGATCCAATGAAGAGCTCTTCCCATGGTTCCTAGCATATAGCAAGTGCTCAGATACAATTGATATTTGTGTTGTTGCCCTTCTTTTTATTACAGAGAAATGAGTGCTTTCAGTATCCATCATCTGATTTCTTTATATCTTAAAAGTATCTTTACATGGGGGCTGAGGATTTAGCTCAGCGGCATAAGCACCTGCCTTGAAAGTAGGGAGTCATGAGTTTGTTTCTTGGTACCGATAAAAATATGTAACACTTACAGGTGTCAGGCCAGGGCCCTTTGAGACGCTTTACATATGTTAATTCTTGCAAGAGTGTGAGTTAGGAATTATCTTCATTTTCATAGCTGTGTGAGCCTAGACACCAACATTGAATACCTTTTCCAATAACAAAGCAGTGGACAGAATTTTAACCCAATGGGCCCAACACCAACATCTCTGTTAACTAACCCATAATTAGCACAGCACTGCTGCAGTTCTGCTTTGGATTTTTCACATGAGTGAGGCATGAAATTGTTCATGGGAGGTTGCACAGGTAGCTAGAGGCATTTTGTGTCAGGGTGCACTAGAGGATCAGATTTAATTTGTGTGTGTGTGACAGATAAGGATTTACAAAGGAGGCTTATGAAGGCCATCTTCTCTGGTGGAGAAGAACGCAAAAGGGCCAGGTGCTCATTGGAGATGCAAAATGTCAACACATAAGTCTAAGGCCTGGAGCTCACAGCAGAGTCCTGGGAGAGTCTCTGGAAGGAAGCAGAAGAATCTGTGCTAGGATCATGGAAATGAGACCTAAGGTGATGGCAAGGACTCAAACTCTTCTGAAGAGGCAGAAACCAGACTTTCTCCTTTCCCTTTTTACTGCCTCCAGGATGCACTATTGGTTGCCAACCACACACAGTGAAGGTCTTCCATCTTCAATGAGTTAGAAATCTACACACAAACACAAAACTGTGATAAAACAATCACCTAGGTGTTCTTTGCTTGTTGGCTGTTAGTTTTTTGAGACAGGATTTTCTTTGGAGTTCATGCTGGCCTTGAACTCACTGTGTTGCTCAAGCTAGTCTCAAACTCAGATTTTGCTGCCTCAGCCTCCCAAGTGCTGAGTTTACAGGTGTGCACCACCACACCCAGTTCCTCCTTCATTTGAATGCACTTATTCCATCATTCTTGCCATTTTCTTCTGAATCAATTCTGGAAGTCCTCTTATAAGGATCTTTAGTTTTGATTTGTGGCTGCCTCAAGGTCTTGAATCAGTTCAAACTATTCACCTTTCAATGACCATTTTGATTTTGGAGAAGAGTCAGAAGTCACAAGGGTTCAGATCTGGTGAATAAGGTGGATGAAGACACACCATAATGTATTTATGAACTGTTCTTTCCATTGGATGGCACTCAGCAGCAGTACTCACTATATTTTTATCACAATTTGTAAAGACACTCGCAAAAGAGGACTTCCAAACTGCTCCAAAAATTGCAAGAACAAATGGAGAAGTGTGTTTGAAGCGAGGAGGTGTATTTTATTTAATTTATTTTCAGAATGTGTTTCTTAAGGAAGATTAATGAGTATGTATCTCTTATTGTAGTAAATTTAAAGAATTTGAATGTTAGCTGTATATTTTCATCAGCCCTGGTACTTCTTCCTTGAGGTTATTAAGTAAACATCTGCATATTTAGTGTCATTTATACAAAATGATTGGGAAAAGAAGTGTTTTGAATTTCTGATTTTTTATTTATTGGAGAACTTGCATAGACATAATAAGTTATTTTTAGGATGGGACTCAAGTCTAAACATGAAATTTATTTATAGTTTATATATACTTCATACTCTGAGCCTGAAGATAATTTTATACAATATTTATTTTTTTTTATTTAAAGAAAAGGAAACGAAAAAAAAATACATGGAGATTAAAAAAAAGGGTAGAAATAATACTAAATTACAGACAAACAAAAGGTAAGAAATTGCCAGTTGATAAGTTACAAATTGTCGTCTTCGAAATGGCTGTTCAGGTTATAGAATTAAAGTATTTGTATTAATTCTGTGGTTAACATGTGTATTGTGTTGTTTCTCTGGTGTGGGAAACTGAAAATGTAGATAAGGACTAAAATAAAATAGATATTTGAACATTTTCTAATGAGAAGGGGAATTATGGATGGAGGAGGGAGAAAGGAAGAAGGGAAATGAAAAAAATGATGAGAAAAGAAGGAAACCAGCCTTCCATAAATAAGGAGGGGAAGGGAGTTGAAGGAAAGGTACAGGAATGGAGAAAAAAAAAAAAGATTCATATCATGTATGGTACAAATTTCCCACAATTAACATGATTATTATTTACATCTAAAATGTACCAATAATCTTAATTAAATAACATTTTGTGTTTGAAACAAAATTTCTTTTTGTGGAATTTCTCAATTTGGCACTACATCAGTAGTGAAAAGTTTTGGATTTTGAAGCATTTCAGACTTCAGATTTCAGATTAGGAATTTTCAGCCTATACTTGGAAAGTGATTTGATAAATATCCCCCTACCTCAGTAGACCTTAAGCTTCATGCTGAGAGTATGAGAGCAGTCTCTTTGCCTCTACTGGTGTCATAGTTTATGTCAGTGCCCCTCCCAAGCATCATACAATAATGAATGTGGCCAAATCCAGTATTTCTGATTGGTTCATTGTCTAGCACTCAGATTGGTGGTATGAGTGCTACACCTGCCCAGGAGTGGAGCCAGCATACAGTGTACCTGAGGGAAGAAGGCGTGTCTCTCTCTTTTGCTGTTCATGCTTGCTGTTTGCAGCCATGATTAACTGCTTCCCCTCAACCATGTCACTTTGCCTTGGAGCCAACTGAGTAGGGACTGAAACCTCTGATCTGTAAGAAATAATCCTTTCCTTCTTGCATGTTACGTGTCAGGTATTTTGTCTCAACAACCAATGAAAAGTAACTCACACAACTGGTAATCAGTGTTTCTCAACTCAATGCCCTACACAAGAATGGTGCGCTCTTGTTGACAGAAAGAAAACCAGCAGTGGCAAACAATTATAGATTTGTATCACACAGAATTTCACTGCTTCCAAGGCTCTGCAGTGAAATGAGGTCTCATCAGTTTTCCTCTCTGTAGGCACTAAGCTTGCCATTTCTTTTGCTTTATGATAGCAAATAATGCTCCTCTATCCATGTTCCATTCTCCCTATGGTCTTACAAATCAATTGTAAGCTCTTATACAATCTCATGCTGGGCATGGAAGTCAGGACCTCCTGCATGCTAGGCAAGTGCTCTACCCTCAAGATACGTTCCAGTCCTCCCTTTCTTATTGCTGGACGTTAAGCCATGGGAATGTACTGCAGTTTTAGCCCCAATCTGACTGAAGTTATTTGACAGGACACTGTAACTACACAACTGAGCCTAGGAAAACCAGAAAATTGGGTGCCAATTATAAAATTTTGCAATAAGGCACTAAGTTTGGGAATGCTTTGTTATACAACAATGGCTAATGAGCAAGATAGGAGCAAGAGAGGCACTATTCACAATAACCAAGGCAAGCAATCAGTCTAGGTATGTGTCAGCAAGAGAATGGGCAAAGCAAACGTGGCATGCACATGTGCACACATGCACACAAACACACACACACACACACACACACACACACACACACACACCCTGTTCAACCATAAAAAAAGAATGAAATCCAGTCATATGCAGAAAAATTCAGGGAAGTGGAGGATATCATGTTAAACAAAATAATTCAGACAGACAAATATTGCATGTTTTCTCTCATATGTGAAAACTAAAAAATAAAGTAGAAGAGGGGCTATACAGGCCTGGGAGGAGAGTTAGAATAGATCAAGAAGATAGGAGAGGAGTTGACAAACTTGACCAATACACAGTATATGTATATATGAAAATATCATAAAGAATCCCCTTACTCTATACAACTAGTATGTGTCAATAATTATAATGTGTAAAAAGGAAAAGAAATGGATCAAATTTTAAAGCACTTGGGCATTTACATGCTAATGCATATGCTGCATAATCCCTTGCTAATCCCATGCACCTGGGAGGGGGGTTTGCAGGTAATAGGAGTGCAGTGATTGCTGGGCAAACGTCATTGGCCATATTCAAGGCTCAGAAACTTGCATGTGGAACATGAATCAAGAGACCCAAGGCTAAGGAGCTAAATGATAGAAGGTCCCCTTGCCCCAAGCCATGTACTATTGCAAAAAGATCCCCTGCCTTCATATGGCAGGGAGGTAGCTGCCAGACACCAGGAACAGGGTCTGCATGCTCACTCTCCTATTGTAGAAATGACCTTGTACAGATATGTTCACTTTTCCACACTTAGTTTTCTCACTTACAAATGATCACTTATGTTAGCAGCAGTATAGAGACTGGAGGTGAGAAACAGCATTTCCGTGGTGTTCATGAGTTAGAGGTGGCCAGAGGAAACTCTTTTGCAGCATCTTCTTCAGCCTTGCATCTTTGGCCACCAAGGATGAAGAACAAGGCTCTTGTTTCCCTAAGGAAAACAAGAGCACAATGGGTGGTCCTGCAGTAGGAGTCAGCAGAAGCCGAAATCAGGTCACCATGCTGGGGAGCTTTGAAGTTTCATCACTG